TAGTTATATTTATTTATATATGAACCTATATATGAAGTTTGCCTTGAGTGGTGCTACAATGTGTGGAATTTTATTTATGTGGACGACGGTGGGTATGGGGCGAAGTGCGCGCCTCATCCTGCTCTGGGTCTATAGCTTCCGTGTTATCGAACTTCTGCTAGTAACTTGAGTAACATCAGGCTACGTTTTTATCAGCGTGCGTTTTTTATCCTGATGTTGTTTTTCTTTTGTTATATTTTCAATTTTTTATACTCCTTTTTTGTTTTTGACTGATGGGCTGATGTTCTTTCTTCTATCACTTCTAAGATTTTTGTTGGGTTCGATCTATCTATTTTTGTTTGTTTGTGTTATGTGTTCCTGCGTCAACGGCACGCCATAGTCCGATGAGCAACGAGGCCAAGGGAAAGTTTTGTGCAAATTGTGACAAATGTTCTCGGTGCTTGGAAATTTTCATGCTGAAATAACATTTGTGAAAGTCGTGGTAAAAGAAAATCGACACTCCCAAAATGTTATTCTCGAAAGACTTCCACGAATGTTATTTTGAGATTAAAATTTGCAAGCACTAACAAAATATGTCAAAAGTTTGCACCAAAAATTTCAGAATTTTTTTAATTGTCTACATTTTATTTTTTGGAATTTATTGTTCATCCTGAGCTCAAATGAGCTCGGGAGTAGAAGGCGACTTTTTGTTAAGAGCGATATATTACTCCTATAAAGAATGTTTGAGTACCCGTCTCCTGAGAGCTTTCGCGGTCGAGAGTGCCCTCCACGCCATCCATTGCACGGTGGCGCGCACCTGGGCGACGTCCCTCGGGTGTCCATGACAGATAGACCACGGGTGCGGCCGGGGCCATCGTCATGTGGTAACTTCGGCCGCGCTGATGTGCGCCGTCCTGTCCATTGGCCCACGCAGGAGAAACAGGTCGGACCCACATGTCGGCATCTTGGTCTCGTGTTGATTTTTAAGTTGAGACAGATGACATTTACGAAAACGTTTTTGCTGGCAATTTCTTCAGATTCACATGCCATTTTTTTCTAATTCGCATGGAAGACTTAGAAAAAAAACTACCACAGGTTTCATCTCATGTTGCAACTAAAACTGCGAAGACATGTTCATTGGCCACCCTTTCCAGCGAACGTTCGCCAGATAATAATCCTGTAAATTTAAACAAAGACTGAAAAAAGTCAAGGAAAGAGCAACACGCTGGGCCACCCTGGACTGGAAGGTTCCGGGCTCGACCCCACCATGGCGGAGACGGCGCCGGCGACGCCGCTGGACATCCACGAGATCCCCTTCGCCGACCTCCTCCTCCTCCTGCTCTCGCCGGAAGCGGCAGCAGCGGGCGACGCCGATGGCCGGCGGCGCCGCCTCCTGGCCACCGTCTGGGCCGCGCTCGGCCCGGGCGGCGCCGGCCTGCTGGCCGTCTCCGGTGTCCCGCGCGCCGCCGCCCTCCGCCGCCGGCTCCTCCCCCTGGCCCGCCGCCTCGCCCTCATGGATAACCCTTCCCGCGCCCGCCTCCTCAAGGTGACGAACCCCTCCCTCTGTAGTCTCATCTCCCTCCTCCTCCTGCCCCCAAACTGCGATTGCAGTGCGGCGGCCGTGGATTGATAGCGATTTCCATTGCAGAAGCACGGATTGGGCAGCGACGTTCCCCTCAAGAAGCCCGACAGGTCCGTCTCCTCCTTCGCGCAGCTCCTAAGGCATGACCATGATTCAGGCAAGCTCCACTCCCCGGAGTCGACCACTGAAACCACCGGAGGCATGGAGGTAATCGCCGGTGTTGACGGATTTGGGGAGAACAAGGGTGGTGATGATGGTGATGATATTGAGAACCTTGGTGAGCTTTTCAAGGAGCTGGGTCTGTGCATGATGGAGCTTGGCATCTTGGTTGCCCGGGCCTGCGACATTGTTATCGGTGGCAATCAGCTGGAGCAGAGCATTACCGACTTTGGGAGCGCAAAGGCGAGGCTCATCCATTACCACTCCGAGTTGGATAGCAGGATTATCAAGGAGAGGAGCAGCACAAAGAGGAAAAGCTTGGTAAATAATGCAGCAGCAGCAGCAGCAAGACCTGTATCAGATCACATGGATACAGGTCAAATGCCAGGATCAGAAGATGGATCCTGTCTCAAATCAGCAGAAGAAAATAGTTTGATTTCTCTTGTGAACTTATGGCAAGAGTGGCACTACGACTACGGAGTGCTGACAGTCTTAACGGCGCCACTATTCTTGTGCTCTGCTCTCGGACAGGAATGCCCGGTCAGCGAAGAATGCTCTCTTCCTGATGGGCACTCACACCTGCAGCTCTTCGATAAAAGGAGGATATTCTCGGTGAGATGCTCCCAGGAGAGCTTCATTGTTCAGGTTGGGGAGGCAGCAGGCATCCTGTCAAGGGGGAAGCTGAGATCTACGCTTCATGCTGTCAGTAGACCTTTAGGCTTGCCAAACATAAGCCGGGAGACTTTCGTAGTCTTCCTACAGCCGTCTTGGGACAAAACTCTGCCTTTCTCGGGTTACTCTTCTGCCGATGAAGAAGATGGTTCAAGTGATCACATGGAATCAGCCGGGTCTTGTGGTGAACATACATTGATGCAAGAAATTCTGAAGAAAATCCCCCCGCTGTCGTCAAGGCTGAAAGAAGGCATGACGTTTGCAGAGTTTTCTAGGCAGACAACGAAACGGTATTATGGTGGTGGAGGCATCCAACAGAACAGTTAACCAAGAAGAAGCATGGCGATGGAAATGCATCTCATACAAACCGTAATGAAGTACTGAGTTCTACACCCTGTATGTTGAGAATCCACTCTGTAATTACTCCATGTCACAGTATGCACTTTTTTATCTTTGTTGATGGCTTATTTTCTTCTGCAGTTGTGAAGTCACGGAGTTTTTAACAAGTACTTATATTTCGACCTCAAAATCGCTGGCTTCCAAAATTTGTTGGTCCGGTAGTTTAAAGTTATAACTTCATTAAAACGGGCATTGCCCCTGTCCTTGTGTTGGTAAGTTTAGCTTCCTAAACTGATATTGATTATAGGGATCGCATCAACACAGGAGACCTCTCCAGTTATGATTGGCAATTAGTCAACACAATGCTCACTAGCTCAGTTGTAAAAAATGTTAACTGTTTCAAAACTATTGTTGTGCTCCACATTCTCACTTTCTCTTTTTTCACTCCAAGACTGTTGGGTTCCTAGTGTTGCATCAGATCAGCTTAGTTCAACCAGAAGGCACGCTTGAATTTGAAGCCTTCTTAATTTTATTCCAGATCTAAGGTGTTAAATTATGGTATGATCCATATACAGTAGCAGGAAACCATGTGCCTCTCTGGTTCGTTGGTAATTTTAGCTTCCTATACTGATATTGATGGTAGAGATCTCACGTCGACAGAGGAAATCTGTCCAGCAATGGTTGGCAATTAGTCAACACATGCCCAGCTGGAAAAGAAGTTAAATGTTTGAAAAATATTATTGACATTCTACACTTTGCAGTATCTCCTTTTCTTTCTAAGACTGTAGAGATCCGAATGGTGGGTTTGAACTCGAAGTCTACCTAATTTTGTTCCAGATCAGAGGTGTTAAAAGTAGGGTAGGAAAACCCTTCTCTGCTGTGCATGCTGGATAATAGTTTTCCACTGTGAATCATTCAACTCCACTGTACATGACTTGAATATTCTCGTGCCACATTGGTGCGGTATACAGTAGTGATCTATCTTGTTTTCCTCTGTTTTTTGTGAGCGAGGGTGATCTACATCTCTTGTAAAGTGCAGACCTCGATTCATTGTCACCGCGATTTCCTGCTGAATTATACCTTTTAACTCCTTTAAGTCAAACCATATGAGCATGTTTCATCAAAAGATGAATATGTGGTATCTCTGCCTATTGATGAATACCTCGTCCTTGCTGTTGAAGTAGTTGTCAGATTGGTGATAGCTTGGAATCTATTGTTTGTTCCTAACAAAGTAACAGGAAAAACGGGGCGCTGAAAGTGTAGCACTGCTCATGGTTAAACTTATTATGTTAAGTTGTTAACGGGTCGTTTTGTGTAAATGATGTTTATTGGTTCTGTTGTTCAACTTATGAAGCCTTTCCTTTGCTTAGTGTTATGGCAAGCAGAACTTCAGTATGAACTTATGAGGCTGTGTGTGTGTGTGTGGGTGTGGGTCTGTTCTGCTAGGTTTTTCAGTGTGACTTCAGCCTTCTCTTACTCTAGAATATGTGGTGATGATATAACCACTATATTTAAAAAAAAACTGAATATAACTAGTATTAGCTTGATTACTTGTTCATCTGTTCAACACTACAATTGCATAACCTTCACAGCCGGTCAGCTGCCTTTCCGTATAAAGCCTTGTTTGGCAGGCGGGTATTGCCCGGGTTTCTAAGGGTTTATCCCGCTCAGATCGAACATCCCCAATAATGTTTGGTATGTGGGGACTGTACCAGGACAACCCCAATTTCTCTTGATTTTCCCCTGTGAACCCCTTGATGCCCGGAAACGAAGCGACGAGCCGAGGGTCATGGATCTCTGTTAGCCACGGCAGGGCGAAGGCCAACAAGATCCCCATGCCACACACCCAACTCCTACGACCTACGCCACACTCCTTTCCTGGCAGCACAGTGACCTTTCTCTCTACTATGCTTATCTTCCTCCGCACACTACTCTAGAAGATGGATTAGAGACGGGAGCGGTTTTCCTGCGTCTTAATCATCCTAGTTGTTTGCATTCGCTTGGCCCCACCAAAGATTTCATTCACGCTCCGCCACTGTCACCCACCATGGGGTCTGAAAAACCTCCTGCGCCAAACAAGGCCAAAGAGGGAGGGGGCGGGGTACCGAAACGCCAAACGACCATTGACACATGAAATTCCAGTAGAGCCGCGCAAAGACTCGACAAACCAAACCATCGACGCATCCCCACTAGGACCTGAAGATCGCCCCCATGAACATCCTTGCCCGCCAAAGGCTTCCCCTAGCCCTTTTTCGGCTTTATCTTTGTTCATGACCTAACCCTAAAACTCGCCTCCGGCTCTCTGACCTCGATCGATGACCGTGTTGCCGGCGCACAAAGAAGAAGAAGAAGAGAAACAGTTGGTTGAGGAGTACTACTCCTCCCATCGATTTGAAATTTTGAGTTTCCCTCGCCACCGAAAACGCTCCCCCACCACCACCGCGTTCCACCCGTAAACTTAAAACGAGAACCTCCCTACACCCGGTCCATAGACCCTACCCCCACCTCACGAACTGTCTCCTCCTTCCTTCCTTCCCCCGCACACCACCCGGCGTCGCCGTGCCGCCTTCCTCCACCCAGATCTGAACCCAAACCAATCCAATCCAGTCCCTGCCTCGCCGGCGACGGGATGGAGGCGCCGCTGTCCCAGTTGCCCCGGCTTGATGTCCGATGACTCGATCAACTTGATCGACGTCCAGAGCCCGACACATCACCTCACCCCCTTAGTTGTACGACTCTATAGAGCTACTATCGAGTGCCGATGGTGATACCTCGTAACGTACTATTGATGATAACTCTGTAGTATAGCTAATCGGTCGTGGTCTGTCGAGGGTAATTCCTCCTTCACCACTGCCGATACGACTCTGTCGTGCAACATCTCAAGTGTGAACCTCGAGGGTGATTCCTCATATGTTCACCTTGACGATTACATCAAGTGGATTTCATCGAGGGTGATTCCTCGGATTCCCCCTTGATGTTATGGACACATGGTTACCTTGGCTTTACTCCAGGCCTACGTTAAAGACGGGTCGGCCCCGATGGGTACCCACAGGAGTTACTGTTACTGCGGGATTGAAGGGACATGAGGTACCAGCCTGGTAGAGGTGGACCTGAGTTCCCGACAGTCTCTAGATAGTCAGGTTGACCTGGAGGGTACTCGCGAGATAAAGACAAGGCACGGCCGGGCAGGTAGACCGCCCCAGTGAGAGGGGTGGGCCTGACCCTTGTCGTATGGGCCCCGCCCCCTCTCCCTATACAAAACTGCCATGGTAAGCCCAATCTCTCTTCTAATTTTCTGGCGTCTTAATCATCCTAGTTGTTTGCCCTAGCTTGGCCCCACTAAGGATCTTGTTCACGCTCCGCCACCGTCACCCACCATGGGTCTGAAAAACCTCATGCACTAAATGAGGCCCAAGAGGGAGGGGGAGGGGGCACCGAAACGCCAAACGACCATTGACACGTGAAATTCCAGTGGACAAACCAAACCATCGACGCATCCCCACCAGGCCCCGAAGATCGCCCCCGTGAACATCCTTGCCCGCCAAAGGCTTCCCCTCGGCCCTTTTCCGGTTTTATCTTTGTTCTTGACCTAACCCTAAAACTCGCCGCCGGCTCTCTGGCCCCGATCGATGACCGTTGCCGGCGCACAAAGAAGGAGGAGGAGGAGGAGGAAGAGGAGGAGAAGAGAAACAGTTGCTTGAAGAGTACTTTTCCCATCGATCGAAATTTCAGTTTCCCCCGCCACCGAAAACGCTCCCCCCCCACCACCCGCGAACTTAAAACGAGAACCGCCCTGCACCCGGTCCATAGACCCCACTTCGCGAACCGTCTCCTCCTTCCTTCCCCCGCACACCACCCGCCGCCGCCGCGCCGCCTCCCTCCACCCAGATCCGAACCCAAACCAATCCAATCCAATCCAGTCCCCGCGTCGCCGGCGACGGGATGGAGGGGCCGCCGCGGCTGACGGCGGGGGCGGTGAGGGAGATATGGGAGCTGCCGGACGGGCCGGGCACCATCCAGCCGGTGCTGCAGGTGGCGGACCTGCGCGCCGTCACCACCAAGAACCCCGTCGGCCACCAGTCGGAGCGCTACCGCATGCTGCTCTCCGACGGCGTCCACTCCCAGCAGTCCATGCTCTCCACCAACCACAACCACCTCGTCAAGACCCGCGCCCTCCGCCCAGGCTCCATCGTCCACCTCCACGACATCACCTGCAACACCATCCAGAACCGCAGGTCCGTCCGCCCCTCCTCCCCCCTCGATGCTCTTCCCTGGTCCGAGAAAGATTGGATCTTGCTTCGGTTCGATTCTTGCTCATCCAAGATGGGATCTTGCGGTAGATTCTTGGTTCTTTGTCTTGCAACTTCTGAATCAAGATTTAGGGGTTGTCTTGCAGCTTCTGAATCAAGATTTGCCCACATCAATGTTTACATTAATAAGTTGAGTTTAATCAAAAGCATCAAGCATTGCACTGGTTCCGAAGTCCAGCCTCAGTTGACTGTATTTTTTAATTAGCAGAACATATATGCCATTGCTTATTCAGTTTTGAGTCTTCATTCAGCCCCAGCAGAATAAGTTATCTTTGGTGTGGGGAGAAAATGAGGGGAGTGTTTGATTCCGTGTTATTTAGATGAATGCTTTTAACTTTTCATGTTTGCTGGTGTGCCCAGAATTAGTCTGCGAGCTGCAGTCTCGCTCTTCCGTGGCCTGTAAAAACAATTTGGTTTCCTATCCCACCTTGATTTGACATGCCGTTGTATTTTTGCGAGTGTACTCTGATCCAGTGAAATGCACTTTGCTTTTCATGTCTTAATTAACCCGTGCCAAGAAAGCCACAGTCTCCTAATATGTGATACACAACTTTTTTAATAACTACTCTTGCTGTGTTAGGATTTTATGAACCCATGTGTGTCATGTCTTTAAGTTTTGCTTGGTGCAGTAAGAAAGATGTTCTATTTTGTGCCAATGCTGCGAACGCAGAATAGAACTAATGAAACAGTTTACATCATGTGTTTTCATGATCTGAGCTGTTATAGGAGGATTTCCGTAACCTGTCGTTGCCAAACACGCCATAAGTGTTTGGAACCTTGAGTAAACATGCATAATTCCAGAATATAGCAAGTAGAATGGGCAGGCTGGATTTTATAAATTCTAAAGGTGTGTGTAGTTATATTCTGCAATCACTTCTTGACCTGACATTTTTTTTTGTAACTACTCCCTCCGTATCAAAATATAAGACATTTTTTTGACATTGTCACACTGTTAAAAAACGTCTTATATTAAGTTACAGAGGTAGAACCATTGTACGGCCTGACTTTGTTTCTATATATAAAACAAAAATCCTATGGTATGACTAACCAGATATCTTTCAGGGAACTTCCAGTAGCTGACAATTTTTCTCTCTTGCATTCAGGATCATTATTGTTGTCGAACTTGAAGTTTTGCTAAGTGAGTGTGACTTGATCGGGAAACCAAGGATTTATGACAAGAGCTTACCTGCGGGACAGGTGCCTAACCTGCCAGCCAGTGCTGCTCAAGCAAATAGTGGAAACCATTCCAATGGTCCAGGCATGCTGGGAAATTGTGTTGTCCCAAAGGTGGAGCAGAGTACTAACAATCAGTCGTATGGTGGACCCTACAATGGCGTTCACAGCCCAGCGGACCCTTCTATTGGTTGGACACTCCAACCTGGACCTAACAATGTGTCGTCTGGTGGATCTTATGGTACAATGCCAGCACAGAACACAATGAATGGCGGCAATATGGCGCAGCCAAACTCTCAGCGGCCTTACAATGGTGTTCACAGCCCAGTGGGCCCTTCTATTGGTCGGACAGTCCAACCTGGACCTAACAATGTGTCGCCTGGTGGAGGATCTTATGGTACAATGTCAGCGCAGAACACAATGAATGGCAATATGGTGCAGCCAAACTCCCAGCGCCCTTTACTGAACTCTCATCAAAACCAAAGGTTTGCAGTTCCTGGCGCAGGTGGGGGCATAAGCCCGCCTGGCAATGTTTATGGGCGCCCTGCTCAGCCTTCGTATCAGCAGGCACCTCCAGCGTATACAAACAGTGGCCCAGCTGCTAAGAATGGAGCTGCCCTTCGCACCGTCCCGATTTCTGCACTGAACCCTTACCAACGTACATGGACAATAAAGGCTAGGGTGGCTGCGAAGGGTCAGGTCAAGCACTACAACAATGCAAGAGGTCCAGGCAAACTCTTCAACTTTGATCTCCGTGATGCACATGGTGGAGAAATTCGTGCAGTATGCTTTAATACACAGTTGGATCAGTTCTATGACCTGATTGAGGTTGATAAAGTGTACTTGATATCTAGAGGGTCACTGAAGCCTGCAAATAAACAGTTTAACCATTTGAACAATGACTACGAAGTCTCTCTGGATGCTTCAACAACTATAGAAGTTTGTTCTGATGATGATAGCAGCATCCCTAGGCAGCAGTTTAATTTCCGACAGATCAGCGAAATAGCTAACATGGATAAAGACACCATGGTCGATTTGCTTGGGGTTGTTACATCAGTTAGCCCTTCTTCTCCATTTACACGGAAGGATGGTGCGGAAACCCAGAAAAGAGTCCTTCAACTGAAGGACATGTCTGGTTTCAGCGTGGAAATAACCTTTTGGGGTGGCTTCTGTAATGCTGAAGGTCAGCAGCTGCAGTCGCTGTGTGATTCTGGTTCAAATCCGGTGCTTGCCCTGAGATCTGTCCGTGTTGGTGAATTCAAGGGCAAAAATGTAAGCACAATTGGCTCAAGCTTCTTAAAAATAAATCCAGACTTCCCTGCTGCCGAAAGTCTGAGGCAGTGGTACATAACTGAAGGGAAAAACACTGCTTTCACTTCTTTATCTACGGGAGGGTCAGGCATGGGCCGGACTGATGACCGAAAAACTGTTGAGCAGATCAAGGCTGACAACTTGGGGAGATCAGAGAAGCCTGATTGGATCACTGTTAAGGGTGCAATTTCACACATCAGCACCGACAACTTCTGTTACCCAGCTTGCACCACGGAGGTTAATGGTACACGCTGCAACAAAAAGGTGACGAATAATGGCGATGGTATGTGGCAATGTGACAAATGTGAGCAGAGCACTCCAAATTGCGAGTATAGGTACATGCTCCAGTGTCAAATCCAGGATTACACTGGGACCAGCTATGCAACTGCATTCCATGACGCTGGCAAGGATATAATTGGCCTCCCAGCACAAGATCTGTACATGATAAAACATGAACAACAAGATGATGTGAAATTCGCAGACATCATACAGAAGGTCCGTTTTGAGCTATTCCTTTTCAAGCTGAAAGTCAAGGAAGACGTGTTTAATGATGAACCTCGGGTGAAATGCTACATTGTTAATGCTCAGAAATTGGAGGACACGTCGAAAGAGTCTCGCTTTCTACTGGGACCAATTGATAGCCTTTTGGTGGCCGATGGCTTAGGTCCAACCCCTGGGGTGAGTGGTGCTGCTGCTGCTGTCAACACTGGTTTCACGTCCAGCAACACTGGTACCTACAGCACGAATATGAGTGGCCCAAATCAGTTTGGGCAGCAAACGAGCTCATCTACCATGGTGCCTGCCACACCATCAGCGACACGATATTCACAGAACTGCAGTGTTTGTGGGTCCACTGGGCATAGTGTGCAGAACTGCCCTGCAGTGGCCATGGATATGCAGCAACCAGCAGCAAGCGGCTACGCGGCTAGTTCCTATGGCTCTTCACCTGGTGATGCCGGCTCGGGTCTGTGCTTCAAATGCAACCAGCCCGGGCACTTCTCCAGAGACTGTCCACAGCAGGAGGCTACCTCCTACAGGTCTCCAGCCGCCAACGCCAATGCCAACTCGGGTCTGTGCTACAAATGCAATCAGCCTGGGCACTTCTCCAGAGACTGCCCAGGGCAGGCGGCTAACTCCTATGACGCCTCAGCTGGTGGCAATGCCGGTGCAGGTGGCCTGTGCTTCAAATGCAATCAGCCTGGGCACTTCTCCAGAGACTGCCCAGGGCAGGCGGCTAACTCCTACGGCGCCTCAGCTGGAGGCAACGCCGGCGCAGCTGGCCTCTGCTACAAGTGTAACCAGCCTGGGCACTTTGCCAGAGACTGTCAGGCGCAAGCTGCTGCTCCCCAGCGCCAGGCTTACGGGAACGGTGCCGCGTCAGGAGGGTACAACCGGCAGTCCTATGTCGGTAGCTTCTGAAGTATTTCGGCCGACCCGATAGCATCTTGCTTCGGTTCTAGTTGCGCGGCGATGGCTACAACCGGCAGTCCTATGTCGGCAGCTTCTGAAGTATTTTGGCCGACCCAATAGCATCTTGGTTCGGTTTTAGCTGCGCGGCGATGGCATCGCCGTGCGTTATGTATAGTTGTTAAAAAAAAATCTGCCTGCTGTGTCTGTGCGTGGCAGTGTCGTCTGGACCTTGTGCTACTACTTTGAAGCCTTTCTGGTTATTTTTGTGAGCTGCAAATTGCTTGTGGTTTGCTGTTCTGGTCTGATCTTTGGCATTGCTTGTGCTATGTTAATGTGTTTGCAGTATTTTGGTCGTCACTTGTTCAATAGCATTGCTTGTACTATGTCAATTTGTTTGCATCATGTGAAGTTTTGTCAAAATGTAGACCCTGTCAAAACTTGCTTTCATGTCTTAACAGTTACCTATTATTATTATTCTATTGGGCCTCATTCAGTTTGGAGGATTTTCATTGAAAAGACATAGGAACAAGAATTTCAGAGGAAAATTTCCTATAGATGCATTCGGTTTGTAGGAAAGGTGTACGGGAATATCGTAGGAATACTACTCATTTCCTGTGTTTTTGGAGAAAACTAGACATCCACTCAAAGCTCATTTTACGCGTAGGAACGAGACAAGTCAATTCCTTGCAAGTGCCATCCTATCAAATTCCTATACTAATCCTAATTTCTACATTTTATTTCCCCCCAAACCGAATGAGCCCTTGATATGAAGTCGGGCTATTAATCTGTATGGTAAAAACCTTGCTGATTAGAACAAGTATTTATAGTAACAATATTTCAGATTAGAACACAAAATTTTCAAGTAACACACATCTATACCTACTAATAAAGGAAGGTGTGTTTCGCCAATTTTTTCATCTGTTCATCGTTGAAAAGTTCCTTTTTTTTATCTTAGGTGATACTAAGTTCTTATGTGTTCGTCTGCTAAAAAAAAGGTTCATTCCAGATTTTTGTGCATGGGCCGTGCGCAGTGGCCCAACGAAGCCAGCCCACTTATTTTTCTGCACACACAGCTGGGAAAATTTTCTTTTACGCAGGGCGACAAATAGTGAGACCTTCGCACAGGACACACAATAAACGGCTGGCCCATTTTTCTTTGCTTCTGTTTTTTACTTCTCTTTTTATTCCCCTTCTCTATCTCTTTTTTCCTTCAAAGTTTATTTTCTTATAGAATTTATTTCATAAATTCAAAATTCTCAAAAATGTTCAGAATTACAAAATTTTGTTGCTATTTTGAAAAATATTCAGAAATCAAAAAAAAGTTTCCCATTTTTTCAAGCTCTTTTATTGTTTTTCAATTTTTTTAAGATTTCCAAAAAGAAAATGGCATTTTTAAAAATGCTCCAATTCGAAAAATATTCTTGTTTTAGTGAAATTTTCACAATTCAAAGTAATGTTCGTGTATAAAAGATACACATTTTTGAAAAATGTTATGAATTTTCAACACATGTTCCCATTCTAAAAAAATGTTCACAAATTCAAATAATGTTCATGTTTTTATAAAAAAATTGGGTTTCCAAAAAATGTTTGTGAATTTTGAAAGATGTTCTTGTTTCAAATTGTGTTTGCGTTTTTCTGAAAGTGTACATAATTTAAAAATCCCTTTTCAGGATTTAAAAAATGGTTCATGTTTCCTTCTGAAAGTGTACATAATTTTGAAAAAAATGTTCTGGATTTAAAAATGATTCATGTTTCCTCCAATATTCAAAAACATCATCCCTTAAAATCTCTTATATTGAAAGGAAAAGTAGATTGAATAATTCATGGGCCTTCTCTGACGTACAATGACATAACAAAACTCTTAAATGCCCTCAATCGATGAATGGAAAAATAGCGGATTGATTACTTCACACCCGGCGAAACTGAGAAGCTAAATGTTCGTTGTTCCCGTGCACACAGGGTTTTGCTTGAATATGTAATTCTCACTAACTTTAAATGCATACTATTTTTTCTTCCGTTGCAATGCACGGGCATATATGCTAGTGTACTACAACATGAGTAATACTCTATTAAGTGCACTACTCTCTCCATTATGTAATATAAGAGTGTATACCAAATTTGACCTAGTTTATTGAGAAAAATACCGACAACAATAAATAAATAAATAAAGACAACATATCAAGAGAAAACTTTTGCTCGTAACAGATGGGTCCCAAATGGAAGGGTTAGACAATACGTGTGTGACCTCCTCTAGCCACTTGGGCCTTTTTTTTCTTCTGCTAGTACCACTTCATCTTCTGCCTTGTGATCTCTCTGTTAAAATGAAAAATAATCTTTTTTTTTGCGGGGATGAAAAATAATCTTCTGTTTGATCAAAACACCGTTGGAGCTTATCAGAGCCCTGGTGTTGGTGATGCGGGACGGCGTTTGGTGTGCCCGAGCCCACCACTCTCCGAGAC